ATATATTAATCATCTCATTCAAAAACTTAAAACTGGTAATAAAATTGTTCCCGATATTTGTGAAGATCTAGAACATATATTTCAAAATTTTAACGCGAAAACATAAGTTTCGTAAAATGTGATCTTGTATAAAAAATATTAATCATGCATTTAAAACATTTTAATCATGTGTTAAAATGGTACTGATATATACCAAAAAACTGTGCAATGTGTATGAAAAACAAGTCATTAGGCATATTTTTGTAAATTCTAATCAAGTACTTGAAAAATCTGAAAAATGTAAAAATATATACAAAAGTAACACCTCATGAATGAAGAAAAATGAAACCCCACAAAAAATCGTGAAAACCATGCGGAAACGAAGAAAAAAATGAAAAACAAAACAAAACCGAAGAATATGAAGAAAAATAAGAAATAAATAAATAAAGAAAACAAAAAAATACGTGGGGAACAAAAAGCTTCATGCGAGACTATCTTTGGACTCGCGTTGTGCGAGATATAGTCGGCAGGCGCAGTAAGCGTCATATAGGGTTTACCCCAATAACTTCCCAATCCAGTGGGCCAATGCACTTCGTTTCTCCGCTTTGTTTCCCCTTTCTGCGGCCCACGCTAGCGAGGCGTCGTCCCCGTTCTTCTTCCCCGCAGGATTCGCGCACTCTCTCTCAGTGCCCACTCGCCGAGTAGCCATTCACCACACCCGTATCCGTACCGGAGCAGCGCATCAGCTACCCCGCGCACCACGCCGACTCTCCACCTGAGTCGGCCCGTACGCCACCCCAGAGACCCCGAACCATCCACCCAAGCACGCGCGTGCGCGGTCGCAAGGGCTCTCTCGAACTCTCGCCGTACGGTGCTACGGGCGTACATGGCCGGTCGGCTCCTCTTGCTCCGGCAGGCCACAAGGAGGTGGCGCCTCCAACCTTCACCACCTCCGCCCCCTTGCCCCTCGTCCGGCAGCGTAGATGCGACGGCGCCTTCCCACGGAACAATGAGGCTCAGCGCACCACCTCCGCCGTAAGACACAAATCTGTCGATTCCTTTCTTGCCCGTTGATTCTTATTCTGAGTTGTAAATGAGGTTTAGTGAGCGATTTTCGGGAGGTTTTGTTGACCAGGGCTTCAGGCTTGTGCTATTGATGCAGTAGGTTTGCTCCGAAACAATAGTGACTTTGAAGTGTTCGATGAAATGCCAAAGGCATGAACTGTTTCATCTATGTTATGTCTTTGCTATTGTGGTTTAGTGTATTTGTGTGTGCACGCAAGCTGACGAACACGTCGAGCTCTTGAGTGTGGTTCTCGCTAGGCAAATACTCCCACCATTTTTATTAGGGTTTTTATCATTTATGCCATCGGTTGTGTCCCACTACTCAGTTTTGCCACTAGGAATTTCAACTACTCAAAAATGCCATCGCTTTGTTAGACACGTGTTCAAAAATGCCACTGGGCACCATTATTGTGATCTCAAATCTCTTTTGCCATGTTATAATGACATAAATACCTATGAACCAGCATGCCAGCTCTCCTTCTATCTTACTACAATAAAGTGTGGGGCCCACTTGATCCCAACGACGTTCTTATTTTTCTATAAAATTATTCGCTTGGTTACTCCTGACAAGTGGGGCCACACTTATCATTGTGAGATAGAGAGAACTGACATGTGGGTCTAGGCTTATTTTTGTCATATAACATGGTCAATGAGTTTGATGTGAAAATAACGATGTCTAATGGCATTTTTGAGGAAACATCTAACGGAACGATGGCATTTTTGAGCAAACATCTCACGGATCGATGGCATTTTTGAGTAGTTGTAACTTCTAATGGCAAAACTGAGTAGTGGGACACAACTAGTGGCAAAAATGATAAAAACCCTTTTTATTTACTCCGCATATTAGGTTTGACCGAAGTCAAACTTTAGAACATTTACAGTAACAAATCTATATGATGTGAAAATATATTCAATTATGAATCCAATGGTATTGATTCGGTGGTGTGTATGTTAATATAGTATTCTACAAACTTGTTGGAACTTTATAAAGTTTCTTTTTTTGCGAATGAAACTTTGTAAAGTTTGACTTTAGATAAATCTAATATGCGGAGTAAATAAAAACAGAGAGTGTACAATAACGTAACAGTTCTGTTATTTCAGAGTTCTGATGCTGTTGTAGTTATACTTTTCACAAGGTTTTTTTACCAAGACGACGGGTTCTTCAGTTGGCCACGAAGTTATAACCTTCAAACATGCCGTTCTGTCCATACCAGTCGACCTGTTAATAGTCAAAATCAAGATACGGCAACGGGTCCACAAAATACTGGGGCCATGGTATCCGTTGATGATTCTGGCAAACCGAAAGTGAAGAGGAAAAAACTTAAAGGAAAGAGGGCTGTAACCAGGTTTTTGAAATCCTTGAGATGGAAAAAGGAAAGAGAATTTCAGAGAATGACCGCTAAGGAGAAAATTTTGAAAAAATTGAAGCTAGTAAGTTGTTATAGACTTGTCTCTTTATGAAGATTTTTTCAACCATAAAAGAATGATCCGTGTCAGAAAAAAAAGCATAAAAGAATGAAGTTTGCTTGACTTTCACTTGACGTAGCATGATTTTCTAATACTGCTTGTCAGTATTGTCATGTAAGGTATATTACTGCAAGCTGAATTTCCACCCTTGAGGTGGGCTATCTTATTAGATTTTTTAATCTATGTTTCTGATGTTCTCTCACATTACGATGAATCTACGTGTTTCCTTTTTATGCACTCTGTTGTGAAAATTTTCTTGTAAATATATTGTTATACGGTTGGTTTTTTCTTATATATTTTTCACTTAAAGGCTCAAAAGAAGGAAGAACGACTTCTTGCAGCTTTGAAGAAAATTGAGCCAAATGATCCTTCAGAACCCACACATGATCCTGAGGTTCTTACACCTGAAGAACACTTCTACTTCCTCAAGATGGGCGAAAAAAGTAAAAATTATGTGCCTGTTGGAAGACGTGGAATTTACCAGGGAGTGATCTTGAACATGCATTTGCACTGGAAAAAGCACCAAACCCTACAGGTAATTGTGAAGACATTCACACCAGAGGAGGTCAAGGAAATTGCCTCAGAGTTAGCAGTTCTAAATGGTGGTATTGTGCTCAGCATTGAAGAAGGAAATACAATTATTATGTACAGAGGAAAAAACTATGCACAGCCACCACCCGAGATAATGTCACCAAAGGTTGCACTTCCTAGAAAGAAGCTATGTTCTATCTCTGCTATCATGGTCAAGATATCAATGTATGTACATTGTATGAATTGTGAAGCGAGGTTATAAAAACACGCACAAAAACTAGTAAAAGACTGGCTTCAAGATTTCAAAGAAAGACAAGCTCAGTAAGATCCTCCTGATTTATGCAGAAGCCTTAATAAGATACCAATTTATCATTCATCACCTAGGTTTAGAACATAACAACAAAAGGCATAGTCAGCCAATTTTTTTCAGTTGGTAGGAAGGGTGTTCTGTATTCTAGCCAGGAAGTCAGGATCAAATAGAATATACTCCAATATAAACAGACATGCAGGATGAGAATGAATAAAGGATGACTAATACACTGTCCTGTTATACCTTTTAGTGTTAGTACCCTGCTTTCTCTAAATCTAGCATTTCTAATCAGGCACTGGACAAATCAAAATATAGAGATCGCCTCCGAGCTCTTAGGCGGTACATTCCCAGGCTTGAGCAGGAGCTTGAATATCAGCACGCCCTGATGAAGTTAGCTGGAGGCCATATAGGACAAAGTGCGGCGAAAGACATTGCTTTTATTTCAGACTCTACAAACAGTGTGTCCGTGAATAAAGATTCTTCTAGCTCAGTTTACAAGAGAACTGTATCCGAACTCCTGTCAGAAAGTGTAGAAAGGTCTGAGAAGTTGGGGGATGAAAATTCTGAGGTTGATGATGATTCAACTTCGGAGTCTATCACATATTCAGAATCCGAGGATCTCTCTGACATGTTTGAGACAGATTCAGAGGAGCAAGCAGAAGGTAGCAAGGAGCGTCCTTTGTATCTAGATAGGCTGGATAAGTTTCTCCCAGAAAAAGTCGATAATGAATCAGACGATTTTGAGGAGCATCTGCGGAAGATTGCTTCACTCTCGGACAAGGCAGATTCACCCGCAAAAGAACTGAAAATCTCCGAGCTTGATGAGATCGATAAAATATTCCTAAGAGCTAGTTCATTGCTGAAGAAAAGGTGACAGTCAAATTAATTTGTATACGATTTGCTTGAGCTTTTCTAGCCAAACATTTATGTGCAGTTTACTTGGATCTTCCAAAAAGAACTGAGAAATACTGGTAAGTGGTCACAGACTCTCAAACACTGAGCTGATTCATAAGATCTTACTGAAGAGCATCCACCATTTTCGCGGCTTCATTTTCTTACTGCAATCTAGCGACTCATGTGATGTTGCATACTTAGTAACCTGAAATATCGCAATCAAATTATGGTGCGTGCTTACATGATTTTGTTTGCTTGGCGACATGTGGTTCGTCAGTTGGTGTTAAGCAGTAGCCATCATATGTACTTGTTGATTTCCTTTTTGTTCATTCATTGTTGTAGAAGAGTCATTATCCCTGGCTGCTGTGCACGGTGATTACAGTACTGTATGGCTGTAGTTCAAGCATGCTGTGCACGGTGATTACAGTACTGTATGGCTGTAGTTCAAGCATGCTGTGCACGGTGATCTTCCCTATGCATTATGATCGCCTCTTGTCTACGGGTGGTTGAATTTTCCACAGTATATAAACCTTAAAAGCAGCACATGTTTTCCACAGTATATTACACTTATAAACCCATCTCGTTTCTGAAAGTATTTCCCCGAATCGCCTTGCAATTTCATACTGTATTTTCCACGGCAACTAAGCGATCGGCACAAAAAGATGGCAGAATCCGTTTGCATACATACACACACGCGTATTAGTTTACTACATAGTGCATCACACATACGAACTATATATTCAGTTCAGATATCTCATCCAAGATCAGGAACGAGGAGGTAGTCCTCGTCGTCGTCGTCGGGCAGCTCCACCCTCGCCTTCTTGCTCTGGCGCGCTCCGGCTGTCTTGTAGAAGCCGGCGTTGCTGGCCGGCTGCGGCGAGGCGAAGAGCTCGGGCACCTCCGCCGCGGTTCTGCCCCACTTTGGTGCCGGCGCCTGGTCGTCATACTCGTGGAACAGGTCGATGTCGGCGAACCACTCCAGCTCCTTGAACCCAAGAGGAGACGGAGAACCCTTCTGCTACAGCAAACACATGGAGACACGGTGAGATGTATCCATGGAGATAGCAGGGAGACACGTGGTTTGCCTAGCCCCTTGCCTTATCGTTGGACTCGTAGTCAGAGAACTGCAGGAGGTCCTCGACGGCCCAGCCGGACGACGGCAGGAACGGCGACGACGGCACCTCCTGCGCGGCGGCCGAGACCGGCTCCGCCCTGTGGACGGCGACGGTCGGCGGCGCCTTGGGCTTGGAGGTCGGCGGCGGCGGCGGGTGGGTGTCGGCGTGGGCGCTGCAGACGGAGCTGAAGCTGACGCGGATGCCGGTGGCGATGTAGCGCTGGTGGTTGGCGGAGAGCGTGCCCTGGACGTGGATGGAGTCGTCGCAGTCGCGGCAGAAGAGCGCCCTGTCGTCCACGCAGAAGACGAAGGCCGGCTTGTCCTGGCACACGTCGCAGCGCGGGAGGCCGGCGGCGTCGGCGGCGTCCTCGAGCGGCAGGCGCTGGTGCTTGCTGGCCAGCTTGTTGGCGGCGTGGATCTGCACGTCGCAGCGCGCGCACAGCGCCGCCTCGTCCGCGCAGCACACCACCGTCGCCGCCGCGCCCTCGCACGCGTCGCACTGGATCCTCATGCCTTGGATCCTCGTGCAGCTGATCGCACGTGCGCCGATCAGCTGCTGGTTGGGAAATGATGAGAGATGGGAGTGGGGAGGCGACGGCGAGGAACGAGCGGCGTATAAATTGGTGCGACGTGCACGGGCGCGCACGCTGGAGCTTCGTGTGGACGAGAGAGGCTCTGCGGTTGGTCACTGAGATGAGCAGTGCCTCTCGTGGCGACCGGGAATTTGATTTGGCTTCGATTTCGGGTGGACGGGGACAGCGAAATCTCGCGGGAACTGAAGGCCGGGAAATTGTGCGGTGGCACTGAGCTCTGAGCTCCCAGTTGTCACGTTGCGGACTCGCGGCATGTGGGGAGATCTTTCTCTGGTTTGCGTGCATGTACGAACGGAGGAGACGCTAGCGTCACGTCGCGCATCACGCACCGGTGTAATTGCTTGTTGTGGTACGTTCGTGATAATCGACTGGTAGGTGTGCTCTCGTACTACGATCGATCGAGGCATCGAGCGGCTTGTAGGAAAAGCCGTGCTACGTACGATCAGAGGACGGACGTGAGGCATGAGTGCAGAAAGGAACGTGGGTCATAGCCTCCTCATAGGTGCACTGTGACAGCCACCTCACAGGGTTTGGTCATTTAACTCGGTGCAGAGTTTGCTTAGGGAAATCTCGCATATTCATCGCAGGTTTAGCAGAGGTTCACCATGGACTAATGCGTTCCGTTCGTCAGGGGACGATCGCGGCTACTCACGGAAGTCTGACTGACGGTCGCTGTTTGCATCCGGCCGATGGAACGCCGATATTCTTCGGGGGACACCGTTTGAGTTGGCGACACCTGTCTCTAGCTCGAGAACCTAACGGCGTCTGAGGGGACGCATCCCCAGCCACATTTCGGGACGATATTTTGGGAACGACTCTGACTCAGATCGATCTACTGCAGAGGGAAGTTGGTGATCTAACGACATTCGCTGGTGGGGTACAACCAAAGCGCTCTTTCTTTTTTTTTTTTGAACAAGGGTAGGGTCCAGAAGGACCCAGTTATTCATTAGATAAGCATGGGGTACATTTAGCAACAGGACCCCAAAGACACGGACAATTACAAACAAGACCCTGCAAATTGCAAAAAAGACCTCGAACAAAGGAAGAAGATTGCGATCGAGTCCGATTCTGCTCCCCGCTGGAACCCGCCTCGCCGGCGCCGGGGACGGCACCACTTGGGCCAGCGAGACCTCCATGACTCCATGCCATGGACTCCACCGTGAAGCAGTCCTGCCTCCCCTTTGGCTCCATGGCCGGGAGGAATGCAAATGGTCGCCCTTCGACCTGAGGATACGGCGGCTTGTCGGAATCAACCGGGCAGCGACCAGCAAGGGCGCCACAGTTTCTCCAAATCCACCGCCGAGTGAGCTCACGAACTCCATCAGCGACATCCAGCTTCCCTTGTGACCACCTCCAGCGCTCCATCACCGCGATGGAAGCAGCAGCAGGCGGCACGCTGGAGGCCCTCCAGCAGATCAGGGCCGGACAATCTCGCTGGAAGCTCAGATCCAGCGAGAACACCCACCAGAGACTCGAGCCCCGCCGCGCCATCCCACCTCTTCCCTTGCCGCCACCATGACGGCTAGAAGCAAGACGGGAGAACACCAGAGCGGCTCGAACTGAGGCAGCCACGCGCTTATTGGGGGAGCTAGCGTCGGATCCGCCGCCTCCCTTTTGCCTCCACCAAGGAGACGAAGCAGAAGACGAGGTCGACAGCCACCGAACGCTGCGCGCGAGCGACGGCGGCCAACACTCCATCGGCATCACGCCAGACCAGCACAAGGCCGAATACCACCACAACAACAAAAAACCTACCATTAGTATATACAGGAGGATCCCGAGCGCCTCACCCATGCCAACTCCAGCCGGCGGCGCCGACGGAAGCGGCAGAGGATCGGGCTGGGTCACTCCGCTCTGCTGCTCTACTTTTCGCCCCTCCTTAACAGTAATATCCGATCGGGCTGGGTCATGTTACCAAAGCGCTCTTTCGTTCGTGCCCACACAAACACAAGCGGCCCAAGCGGCTCAATCCTACGCCATGATTCATCGCTCGCTTGAGCTCTCGTCTCGCTTCTAAAAATACTCTCGCCTCGCCTTACGTTCGCCGCGGGGACGAGCAGCTCCGGCAGGATAGCCGTGGAGGAGGCGGAGCCAGCCCCTGCCCCGTCCAGGGTGTGACGCCACCTAGCCGCTGCCCCGTCCAATTGCTGCTTGCATTTGGTCTTGCTGTACGAATTTCTTCAGAGTAACAACAGAAAAGCTCTGTATGACTGAACTAGTGTTCTACTATGTTGTGGTTCTGCTGTAGAAGCTCTGTTGTTACTCTAGTTCTGCTGAATTGATCAGATTTGAATGGTACTTGTACATGTGCAGAGTTGAACAGACTTAAATGGCAAATGCTCATGCTTTCTTGAATGTTTGTTATGACAGAAAAATAGTTCCAGTAAACTACTTGTGCCTATGCAGAAAAGAACAAACAATTTGTGTGTGTGTGTAGAATCGAAGAGAACTGAATTGAACGCAACTGATCGGCAACTTAAATGTAGATGTTTGATAACATTCGGCATAATGTGAAAGGTGCATAATCCATGTCATGCTTCTGCAAACACTTCCCCAACGGCCTTTTCCATTGCAACATCTTGATCTGTATAAAATGTTTTAGGCCCCTTCCCTTTATGAGCTATTAGAAAGGCCTCAAACAACCACTTGAAGGACGCAAATGTTTCATCATACATGAGAGCAGCACCATAAACTACAATTTCTCTAAAATGATTGAAACCGAGGGAACTTTGTTAAATAATCCCTTTTGTCTTCTGACCGAAGACCCTCATTTGCACAAACAAATCTACATGATGTAATCTTGCCATCTCTTAGCCTTTTGTTTGTATACCTTTTTCTTGCTTCAAATCCTTTCTGTCTACTCTAGGTAAGCCAAAATGACCAAACCTCATCTGAATTCCATGCCAACATGAGGTACGAAACTAGGCAACACTACTCTGTAATATAAAAATAACATGAACATTAGACTTGTGGAAGTGTATAGAAAATATTGGGAGTAATACCTTCGGAAAAAGATTATTACAAGAGAATAAGCAAACAGTAGTGGTGATTGGGACCAACAGGGATTAGGTGCTAAGGTAATTCTACAAAATACAGAACATGGTAATGAGTCATAAGTATTACTCCATGCCTTGGAAATAATCACATGAGGACAACAATGTATCTCTTGAATCTACAGATTTCACTACTATGCAGGGAATCACTACAGATTTCACACTGTGTCGAACTTCAGGAGGACAAGAAAAAAATCAGGAAAATTTACTTATTGGAATTAGAATCATGGTGTGCTGTGTTAGTCTCGTTTTCCACCTAGGTTGCTTCTTCCATCAGAAAAAGGGGTTCCTGATCAGAGTTCAGCAGGCTGCTCTTCCATGAGAAAAAGGAAAAAACGATCAAGTTCTAAAATAATGGGATGCTGGAACGTCGATCAATTTTATTCATGTGTTAAGCGTCGAGAGAAAGGACTGTGGAGACTTACCTGAGATTGGCGTTGGCGAGCAGAGTAGCAGTCCCCGCCGGGCGCCAGCGATCTCCTTCCGGTGAACTTTGCCGCCGTTTCTGTAATCCTCGCGCCTTTTTCTGTGGCCTCTAGCGCCCTTTTCCCCTCACTTCCCTCGCTTGCGTCGCGTTGGGCCGCATGGGCCGGTAGTTTTGCTGGCGAACTGAGCGACAGAGCCCGTTCTACGTTCTTGCCATCGGATGGCCAACGGATGGCGCAGGGCGTACTACTTCCCTCTGCAGTAGATCGATTAAGTCAGAGGATCTCGTTCCATATTTTGAGGCCAAGGAAGGTGAGGTGTGATGTGTCATGTCTGCGCCGAACGTGCACTCAACACCAAACACGGGCCTAAGTTTCACGTCGAGTTCGTTTTCAAAGAGCGTCATGGACGTAACCCAAGGACATCATCGTCCATGGAGCGGAGATGAGGCCACCAAACAGCCTTGCACGGAGCGCTCTGCCGGAGTGGCACAACGCATCCGAGCCATGAAAAGCAGGCAAACGTCCTTCCCAAACTTCTCATGCTTTTTTCGTAATAAAATAAATAAAGACAGAGTCTAAATATTTTTTTTTGGAGCACTCTAGGAATTTATGAGTGTGAGCGCATGGAATGACAGATTCACGTTCACACTGAAGGCCCGGTCTACCGACCGGCGAGTTCCTCTACGCCATTCATAGCTCCTGGTGCTCATTTGTACATGCAGGAACGCTTTTTGGATCAAATTTTTTGAGACGCTTGGACCACTGAGTTACAGACCGATCAGCTGAATTCTCGAATTAAGGCCAATTGGGATTTTGCAGTGGATTCGATGGGTCCGCTCAACATGTCACCCGTCTCGCCGCATTGATGAACAGAGGTTGACGCTGAGTACCAGCTTCAGCCACAGCCTCGCAGATGTCTGCACGGACAGGTTGTAATTTGGGCCCGGCGACGAGCGGAGAAGTTGAGAACCATGTCGAGGTTCGTGAGCTTCACACTGAAATGAAGGTATATCCAGAATTGTCGATGTGGGGCACCTGAATGCTTTGAGCCTCTCGTTTCAAAGTATCAGTGAAATTCGACGAGCCTCGCCTCGTCCAGAATTTCCCAGGCTCGGATTCGTAACAACCGTCGTTTTTTTTTTGAAAGGACAAACAGTCGTTGTTGGGGCCATGTCGGCACAGTCCGTGGCATCAGTTCGTTTCGGTGCCATGCAATTAACACAGAGCGCCGTTACGAAAATTAAACGTGCCGTCCAGTTGATTTGGACCTGGTTTGGTTTTTTTTTTTTGACGTGGAACACCATGCATTCCATTAGCTAGTGGGCTCGACCAAATCGGCGGCCACAACACCCATTACATCAGAGGGCAAGCCAGTGAGCCAAACCACGTTGACTTCCTGGTTCTAGCCTCACACCACGACCAGCAAGCAAGTGTGCT